GCCAGTTGACTCAACACACTAAAGCAAAGATATGCTAAACAGTAAATCTTATGCAACAACTGATAGGAAAGCAAACATGGATAGGATAAACCAGCACACAGCAGTTTTCTTCAACCCTTCCTTGAAGTGTCGCACATTAGCTCAGTGGTTCTGTTGGGGCGATAAGTTCTTCATCTGTGAAAATACTCTCAAAGCATGTCAAGTGTCCATGACTATTTATCATATCACAACCTGCATAGGTATTTGCATTTCAATTTCCACTACTTTTTTTGAGGAGTATAAAAATCTGTAACATCGTATGTAATGGCATCGTTGCATTTAACTTAACTATCAACACAGACACTGACAACAAAAAACCTGGGCGTGAATAGAGAGCTATTTACTGTGGAAGTATTACATTACGATTTTAATTTATTATTTACAGGGTATGGGTGACTGTTTAACATTCTAGAATAAAAAAAAGTGTCAGTCGTGAAAGCACTCAGTTGCACATGCATTAAATAGACTGATATCTGCAAAGCGTGACAGAGTTTCGCCAACTGGAATATTTCTCTCATACAATGTACTCTTTTCATAAGAAAACCACCACAACACATACAGCATATTCACAGTTACTATGGCAGTGTTACAATTTAGAACAAATACTCCATACATTCACGCCTGTAACTAGGTGGGGTGGGCAAAGATGTACATGTACATTGTCCGTCAGTTTTACAGTACCCCTGAGAACACTTCCTGCCCCCCCCCCCATTGCTCTGAGCTAGTTACTGCCCTGCTTACATTTGTAATCTATGTTTTGTATATTATAACTTTTATGAGAATAACTTGTGTTAATCTCACCAATTAATTAGCACCTTAGTGGTCAGGAGATTAAGATTGTTTATTGAGTAATCAAGTTAAGTTTCTTGATTATCTGTGTTCTGTTATTTTAGTCACACTACTGAATAAAAATAAGGTTTTGCATTTACAATAGGGCTTTTGTTATTTACGAGTACTGTAACAATATCAGAATCTGAATCATTGATAGAATGACAGAATGATAGAAATTTCAATTTCATTTGAAAGAGATGCTTACGTTAACTTAAGGGGAGGCAAGGGTCGACAAATGTCAATTTTGACTCAAATTATCGATTTTTTATATTTGCATATTTGTGATGTTCATTCATTTTTATTTCACTTGTAATTAAAGAAAATACGTATAAAGTGGTTTATGATAGAAAAAATGCACTTTTGAACACTCTTGTAATTCAAATTTTGCTGTTTTACCTCTTTATGTCTTAATTTCTCAAAAAGTAAAATATCAACAGTCGACAACCTTACAAAAAATTGTTCTTGAAAAGTTTACAACAGATATGTCTGAAACTTACACACATACTTAAGTAATGTTAGTTCCATGCAAATAAGGATTTTCAGTACTCTAAATGAATTTTTAGTGTAGTAAATTGGCATTTGAAATCTCTCATTGAAAACAACATTTTTCATAATTTTTGTTTTGTTGAATAGAATGACATGTAAGGACACAATAACAACACCATATTGATAATTGCACAGAGAAATGTCCTAGGAACATTTTAAAAAAAGTTCCAGGCTTCTACCTTTGATACTTTCAGAGAACGATTTTTTTTAAGCAGTAAAAATGATTTTTTTTGTTTCCATGGTAACCAGTAAAGCAGATTCGCCCAAAACTGCTGATTAGCCTATTTTGTCGATGTGAACAATTCCTGAAAATTTCAAGTTGATAGCATTATTAGAAGCCAGTTATTTTAAAATTCATATTTGTCGAGCAGTGCCTCCCCTTAAGTGCATTTTACATGCTGTAATGCTGTATGAAGCCACACTAAACAGAATTCAACTATCAAAATATGATTTTTTAAAAGACGAAACGAAATATCAAATAATCACCACTTGGATTAATTATTTGGGTAAATAATGACTTGGAGAAGGCTTCATATATATCATTCGCAATTATCAATCAACAAGTTATTAATCCATGACAATTGTTTGGTATTACTCAATGACAATCCGGTTTTTCAGCTAGTTGATTAATTTATAGTATGCCGCCTCTTGGTTGTGACTGACACACAATGGCACTCTATATACAATTAGAATTTTAAGATATTTTTCTGTCATTTCTCAGAAAGAATCAGAAGTACCCCAAAACATTATCACCAAAATCAAATTTTTATCGCCACTTTCATTTTTTTTATTGCAAATTGCCAATGACAACACAATGCACCGTGCAGGCAGTGGCGGTGCCATGGGGGGGGGGGCAAGAGGTGGCATTTGCCCCCCCATAATGCCCCCCCATTAATTTGCTCTACCCTCTGTTTGCCCCCCCCCCCCAATAATTTTAGAAAATAAAAAAAAGGATTTGTGATACGTTTCGGTAATCAATACCTTCTATGGTGAATAAATCCCACATGCCTACTCAGTCATAAACTTGCATGTTGTAGAGCATTTCCGACAGTCTATTTTTCAAAATTTTCTTGGCGAGGCCCCCAATGGACTCGCTACTTTGGCGCTCACAAGGGGAATTCGTTGAGGTTCGCAAGTCCGTTCGTTTGACATTTTGTTCTGTAGTCGGATAAATTAGTGATCAGGCGACGGACGGTATCTAGTCAGATCTATTTATCTCGACGATCGGTGCCTGGGAATACTGTAAGACAGCATTTCCGGCAGTCTATTTTTCAAAATTTTCTGGGGGAGGACTCGTGAGTGGGCTTCGTCGTGATTCGCAAGTCCGTTCGTTTGACACTTTACCTCATCGATCAGTGCCTGAAATACTGCCAGGCTGCATTTCCGGCAACCTGTTTTTCAAAATTTTCTGGGGGAGGCCCCCTACCCCTAGTTGAAGCTCGTGCCTTTGCCCCCTTAACCTTGGACTTTGCCCCAGCTTTGCCCCTCCAATCACCGGCGGCTGGCGCCGCCACTGCGAGCAGGGTATCTGTGCCAATCAGCAAATGAGTTGTGTTGACTTGATAGCAACAAGCTGAGTTTGTTTACATATTGTACAGGTTGTAAAACTTGTTTGTATTCATTGAAAATGAAGTCATCGGTTATACATTGGTCATATTTATAAACTAGAGATTGCCAAGTATTATGTAAGAGGATTGACTGGTCATCCCACTGCAAGCAGAGAGAAATAACTAATTTTGCTGAAAATTTTAAGAAAAAAAAGATTTATGAATATGGTACTATTACAAAACATCCAAATCAAGATGTTTTACAATGTTTTATTGCTATTTTGATCTTTTCGTTCGAAAGATAGTATATTTATAGACTCATTTTTATGAAAATCTCAATTTCGATCAAAATCAATATTTTCACTTGTTTCGTTTGTAGCTCATTATTAGACTTTGCGGATTCCATCTCATTTTGCCTGCAGAGATCACGAAGATGTGGATAAAAAAGGTTTAGGAAAATTTATATGCTCACATTTAGGTATATGCTTTATGCCTATTGTGACAAAATAGTTTTAAATATTAATTAAGCTGCAACTGTTTTGTTATGTTATGCACATACATATACAAACCATCTGTTTTACTTGAATTTGAATAATACGTAATGCAACAACAGGAATGTGTAATTGTCTGGTTATTACATCTGGGATCTGGCCATTATCCACAGTGAAACAACTATAGCTTTGGCTGTTGAACTGTTTCCTATAATTATTGCTAATGATTGATTAGATTATAGAGAAAAATGGCCATTTTTTTTACCTTCAGCTTTTGACAAGAGAGAAGGATGAGTATATATGGATACCTCTTCATTTTTCTCATTATTGAAGACAATATAAATGTCTTGTATGTTGAAGATAATCAATGATATTTCATGTAAAGAGAGATTCTATTATCAACAATATATCCTTTCTTACAGTTTAATAGTATCTTGTTGATTCAATGAACTGATTTACAAGTGGTTTTGTCTTCAAGATTATGTGAGTGAATTTTTGAAAACATTTTGGAAATTACTATTTTTTAGGTGGATGTTTTGTTGCTATGGATGCTGTTATCTTTATTTATTGATATGGATTAGCCATAAGCCATACATGCAGTTCATTAAAAGATTTTTTTGTAACAATTTGCAACTATTATTTTATATCAAGTGTCATTCAAATCAAATTTCCATAAAACAGTTTTATGTAGCCATACGGTAGTAGGCTATTGTATTGTATTTTACTCTCAACATTTCTTTACAATCTTCCAATGTTGTCAACCAAGATACCTGACAGGTAATAACAACTCATTAGTTAAAATAGTAACATAATGTCTACTTCAATTTATTTGTCTATCCGTACATGTCTCAGTTCATTCATTTATATCTATTATCATTTCATTCATATCTATTATCATATATTATCATATTTTCGGAAAATAGATTTTAACTAAAACCGGGATATTCAGCTCATTTTTGAATTCTGAAAAACTTTTGAGGATTGGTAAGATTGAGATTGGGCCGATGGACGTTAAAACTGCATTTCTTTCTCTCTCGCTCTCACAAATATATAGTAATTTGGTTGTTGACCATGACTTTTTATAAAATTAAAAAAAAAAAAAAATTAAATGGCTAATGTCGGGAGCCAACCCCATCCTCCCGTGTGCTAATTGACCAACCACAAACTAGTCTAATGCAGATGGACATATGTCATGCAGTGTATTACTGTAAAACATGAAATTATTGCGACATGAAATTATTGCGAGTTGGGGTGGTGAAACATAATTGACCTTTCCGTCGACTCCGCCCACAATAAGACTTTGACCAATCAGCTCCGATTACAGTTTCCCGCGAAATGACGTTGCGTTCCTTCGCTTCATCACCTTAGACAAACTTCGTGAATTTTGACATTTTGTCGTGTGTTCAAACGTCGTCAATTGTGGTTAATCATTGCTCACACGGACATCGTATCAGCAATAGCTGCTATCCAGACAGGTTAAAGGGTGGTATAGTGTGCTTCCCTTCCCGAAACAGTTAAAAAAAAAAAAATATGGGATGTGTCTTAGTTCTAGGCCTAATGGATAAGAAGACTGTTGTCGAAGTCACTCCCACCAGTTAAATGTAAACAAACGTCAATGCTAACCGGTCAAGTGTGGTCCAAGGTAAGTAAATTAGTTTTCTGGAGGCCAAACAACATTTAATTTTATGTGAACTATTCCAAGGGTAATAAAGTTGTTTTCATTTAGCCAAGTAACAATAAAATATTATGTAATCTACGCCTTTATCGTATAACACGTCGTCTGCTAACATCCGCCATTTCAAGGCATTTGTCAAAACGCCGGGAGCAACCTGTGTACTGTAGTGTATGTTACCGATACTTCCTCATCTTTTATGGTGTTTTTACGAGTTGTCTCACATTATTCCATAACATTCCTTCATTTTATACGCTTCTCTGTTCCCATTCCGTATTGCAGAATTCGCCAACAAGGGAGAACTTTCTATCTATGCCCACCTCTTCCAGCTTCAAGTTCAAGGCCCACGTAGGCTAGGCCTAGACTGTCTGACCGGACGGTTTGTAGTTGTACGCTCTTATACTATACGGTAGGCCTATTACCACAACAAAATGAAGGCTACACTAGAGGCCTAGGCCTAATTCTAAGATGGTTTGTCAAGGTAGGCAATTTAGGCTAGACGAGATATCTAGAGGTGTTATTATTTGGTTTGTTGAACTAGGCCTAATAATAGTAGTACTACTAGTAGTCTCAAATGTAATGCTTGAGTACTTTGTATTTCAAATGACATGTTAAATTAACTGATTTTCAGTACTTCCTGAAGCTGCCTGGACCAATAGAAAATAATCCAGAACCATATTCAGGTGATCATAATGGAAGTATAACATGACATCAAATTTAACAAGAGCTGCAGCAATAAAAAGACAGACAAATTGTTGCCAGGTAAATATACCAGCTTGTTAACTACTTTAATAATTTTATTATCAAATCAAATCAAGGGTTCACAAGGGACATTAATACAGATCATACAAGGATAGAAAAGTGTTACTCCCATTTTTCTTGTTAATACTAGGCCTATTCTTTCCAAATAAATTTTTCCACTGAAAATTTGTTGTTTTGTCTTGCTAGTCATATTAAGGCGAAATTTCAGGGTAAATATTCATCATTTCATGACACAAATTTGTTGGGGTTCATTGAAAAACTCTGATATGAAATAGCATGTTTTGATTTTTGATGCTGGTGTCATTTAAGTGGAATCATACTGCAATTTCAATGGATAAGCTTACATCTTGTACATATAATTATTATTACTTTAGGCCTATATAGACACACCACATTATTAATTATGTATTAATCAGTCTTTAAGCTTATTACTTCTTTATTCTTTTACAGCTACATTCCTGAAGAAGAAAAAAAAATTCCAAAAATTAACAAAAAATGTACAAGAAATTTAACATGTGATTTCAAAATTTCACTCTCTGCAAAGCCTGTCACCTTTGATTCAGAACATACATTGTAAAACTGTATTTTTAAATAAATAATATTACTTACCGGTATCTACAATCTTGAATTGTATTCTTTCATGAAATATCAAAATGATTGTGTTGATAATGAGAATGCGGTTTACTACAACACGATCAATCTTGTCACCTCTTAGTCTTAGCGGTTCTTCATGGTTGTGTTAGGGAGTGCAATCACAAGCCCGACGGCAAGGGAGAAGTAGCCACATGTACATCCTACAAATTATAAATCATCATGATAAAAAGAAAATCTCGCCATGTTTTCTCTATTTTACTAGTTGAAAGAAACATAATATGGGTTGGCCTGGCCTACTATAGACATACTGAACCACTTATAAAACGTGTATATACTCGCGGCCTAAAGTTTTTGTATTTCACTATAGTAATAGTATTACAAGTCACGACAGTAACGTAACTTTGTGTTTATGATGACCTACTAGCTAGTACTACTAGTTAAATGGGCCTTATAGGCCTTGCAACCTACAGAAGTACCCATATAGCCAAACTTGGTTTTCTCTAAATTTATATCAAATCCAGGCCAGACTACAGTATTTATAATTGTATGTACCCCCCCCCCCCCACTTCCTCATTACGCTTCACTCACTTTTATTCCTAAACCATTCTTACATTTATCGACATAAGTGATAATAAACAAGTAGAATTTGCTTACCTAGTCTGGCAGCAACAATGCTAGTCTGTTACTTCCTTCACAGGCATTGATAATAAGCAGGATGAAAAAAACGCCTAGAAAGTCATAAACTTTATTACAAATAAATTTCAACGGAAAAACCATCCGCCGATGCATACTTTCACCAGGAATGACCCACGTTTCGCATTTCCTTTACACTACATTTAATAATATCGCAGTCCTCTACGCCATAGACAAGTTGTTTTGACGATGTGGTCTAAACAAACACGTGATTGTTTTACGCTCAGAGTATCATAGCAAGACGCACGTGTAAATACTATTCCGGTCGTCTCTCCACTGCGAAATCATTCTACCATGAAATGTAACGTCAGGCTCAGAAAGGGATAAATAATGAAAGAGCAGAAAGTATTTGTCACTTTTCGGTTGAAACGACTCGATAATAAATACAATTTTTCACATTTTGCTTCACAATACTCGATAGAAATGTGATGTAAGTAACTTATTAGCACCTTTCCTCGGTGTATCGGTGAATATCAGGACAGTTTTGGTCGAGAGCCGCCTCGGCTGGGCCCCTCGACCAAAACTGTCCTGATATTCACCGATACACCTCGGAAAGTGTGCTAATAACTACTACTTGCGACATAAAATTATTGCGAATTTCTATAGTGGGGAAAAAATTATTGCAACATGAAATTATTGCGAATTTGAATAAATTTTTTTAGTAAATTTGTCTATAAAATGTGGTAGATTTTTGATTTTGAGGTGACAGTCGGCTCTTCAAAACATCGGTTGATTGGTGATCATTAGTAACAGTAAATAAACAACTATTGAGGATTATGGCTTTGAGTGTGTATTCAACAGATCAAAGAAAATTAAATACCTGTTATCAAACTCAATTTTTAAATAATTATTGTTAAATTAAATCCCTTGATTAACTCCAAGCTGACGAACGACTATAAAACACATGGCATGCGACATTTTTATTACTTTCAAAATGGCGATGTTTAAATTTGTAACTAAAACGAAACGAAATGTGAATTGTTTTACTGAGGAAATTCTCGGGTTGCCAAATCCCGATAATGCAAGCACTGTTGAGGAGCGTGACAATATTACTGCCGCAAATAGTGAGATTGTTGAAGTGTTAACTCCGACTAAATCATCGAAAGATTCAATAACTAAACGCGGTGTTAAACGGAAGGCCGAAAACAATATGTATACACCTGAATTGCGGGTGAAAATTGCAAAATATGCGACAGAATATGGATAATTGTTATTGTTATTGATGATATATACATTATAAAATATAATAAACACATATGATACTGGTATTAAAATCTTTATTTTTATTTCCTTTACGCCCCAGGTTAATATTGGTACTTATTGGGACTCTTTCTTGTGAAGAGTAATGAAGAGGGGATAATTCAATATGGCCGACATTTTAACGAATTTTCACGAAATTATTGCGAACATGAAATTATTGCGAGAGGGCCTCGCTCGCACTTTTCGCAATAATTTAATGCTCGCAATAATTTCATGTTTTACAGTATGTGGGAAATTTAATTCGGACAGCAGCGTTCTGGCCTGCTTTTATTTCGAGTTCCGTCAACGATTCTTACATGTGGTTGCAATATGTGCACGCGGAACCTCTGGATGCCATATCATGCAGTGTACTAAAAGGGAATTTTTTCACCAGACAGCGGCGCTACGGTTCCTACATATTTTGAATTCCAACTGGTAAGGGGTTCCTGTCTCGGGCAATACTGGTAGCGAACCTCCTGGTTAGCCCCTTACTCACTGAGCCACCACAACTGTTTTGAAGAAATTGAAGTAAGACTAGGTAGATTTTTAACGTCACCTGCAAATCCCCAAACTATGTTACAATCATTTTATTTTAAAACAGTCTTACAGGAGAGCTTTAGTTTTAATGTACATTAATTACAAATACACAGTACTGTGTGTTGTTGACCTTGACTTTATAAAATTGAAAAAGTGAAAAAAAAATAATTGGCCAACATCGGGAGCGAACCTTTTCCACCTGGTAGGGCCTAGACATTCTGGTATATTGCAGACGGACATATGTTATGCAGTGTACTATGCAGAAAATTTTACCCGGACAGCGGCGCTCTGGCCTGCTTTTATTTTGAATTCTGTCAATGATTCTTTAACCCGAATGCCATTGTGTACGCAGAACCTCTGGACGCCCTATCATGCAACGTACTGAAAGGTAATTTTATCCCCGGACAGTGAAGCTACGGTCTACTCGTATTTCAAATTAAAACTGCCAAGGGTTCCTTATGTTTCACGGCAATATGTACACGGGACCACAGTTTTTGTCCCATCTGAACAACTGAACACTGTATCTTGCCAGGTCCTCCAATCTGCACCAGGGACATGAGGAAACCACAAGGAACTGTCTCTGGGGCAATACTAGTAGCGAACCACCTGGTTAGCAAAGCAGCGTCTTACTCACTGGGCCACAACGTCTCTTTTGAAAAAATTCTTATCTTCAAACTATGATATAATCGTTTTACTTTCAAACAACGCCACAGGAGAGCTTTATTTTTAATGGTATTCAATGAAGACATCATGTAGACAAAAGACATGTTATATAAATTTGATAGCAAACAATTACATACTCAAATGACTTATTTTCACTGAAGAAGCCAAAAGCACATATTTTGGTAACCAATATTAACATTTGGTAACCAATATTAAAGGTGCTGTGCCATAATCTATCAGATTAATCTTTTTCTTAAAGTTGCACAGAACCTTTGTTTATAAACTGATTTTGATAAAACTTTCAGAATATGCACCAAATGACTCAATTTATCATTTGCCGTTGACATTTTACCTGATTTCAAAGTCTTACACTATTTTAAAAATAACTTCAGTTTTATGACGTCACTTTAAAAAAAAAACTAGGTCAAATATAAAAATTCTAAACGCTCCAATTGATTGCGAATTTTGAATGCTTTCCAAAAATATGACGATATTGAAAATTGGATAAAAATTGTTGCACAAGTAGAATTTTAAAGATTGACTTACATTTTCAAAATGGTGGCACTTCCGGTGAATTTTAACTTCATGAGATTACTCTAAAAAGATGATAGACAACTTGTATTGACAAATATTTTTAAATAAGTCAATATTAAAGAAGTTGAAAATCTGACTTCATTTTCAAAGGGGTGATAATCAGAATATTTTTGTTGACATTTTTGGCATAATTAACCCATTTGTAATATATTCTGAAAGTTTCAAGTCGAAATCTCCCCCCCCCCCCCAACAAAAAAAAAAAAAATTTTACGTTCAGAATTTTCACTCTTTTCATATTTGAGCTCAAAATTGGACCATATGCATGCGGCGTAGAGGCCACAATGCCGCGACATAAAAATTGTGAAATACGAACAGCTACAAATTGGTAAAAACCATATTCAAAAAATTGGTCTATTTTCGTCGATGATGTCACTTCCTGTTATCATTTTTAAAGTTTTAGTTATTCATTCACGATTTCAACTAAATACCTTTCGGATAATATAGAGTTTAATTCTGTAGAATATTTACTTTTTCCAAAAACGCGATTGGAAAAAAAATTAATAATAATAATCCAAACAATAAGACTTAAAGCTGTGTGAAAAAGGCTAATTTTTGGCCTCAGTGCATTCAATGATATCTGTAATTTTCTCAAACAGTTTTGATGGAAACTTCAAGATAACTTAATGATGAACACTCATCTACTTCATTCTGGTTTGTTTTTAC